CTGGGCGCAGGGATCCCGCCGAGCTCCAGTCAAGTCACAGGAAGCTAGACGTCCGCGACTAGGCCCGCGGGGCTGAGCTCGTACAGCGCCCTCTGGCGACCCGGCGGTTCCCCAGCGACGTCGCCACGTGCCTTTCTCCGAGAATGAGAAAAATCATCCAGTCACTTGTTCGACTGACATTTATTAGGCGTCTTCGAAGACCTAGGTCCGATGCACCGCGACATAAGAGACTATCCCTGGAAGAAGCTTTCCTTAGCAGGGTGTAATCTAGTATTTTAAAACTTGTTTCGATCTGAGCTAACTTTCTACTTGCGTGACCTTGAGAACATTATTAATCGGTCTGAGTCTCCCTTCTTCTGTGTAGAGGCAATAACATCCATTTAGTGTTCTAGACCACCTTATCAGGTTAAAGACCCTACCTCTATTTGGGGGGTGTACTGGGGATCGAACTAGGGTCCTTGAGCTTGTGAGGTAGGGGGTGGAACCACTGAGCTAAATCCCGGGCCCCCTTTCCTCTCTTATTACAAAGAACTCAAAGCTAAATTGGGCAGTAAAGATGTGGGAAAAAAAAAAAAACAGCATAAAGAAATATTTAGGACAATCAAGACACATTCACTGAAGTCCAGAATTGTAAAAGGAGAGAAACTACTATATCTTTGTGCTTCCCCCTGGGGATAAATAGCAGTGATTGATATTTTAAATAGATTTCAATCACCTGGGTTGGGGGCCAAGGTCTTAACCCAGCCTTTTGAGGAAGACAATCAACATGATGTGCTGGGCATTGGGATTGTAAAATGACTGGGACCATCCCTGTCCTCAGGAGTTCTGTCACTGAAGAGGAAACAGATAATGTCTACAACGTGTTATCAGAATGTAAGTAAAGTGATGCTCAGCCAGGAAAAATAAGAGAGGGCTCCCTGGAGGAACCAGCCCTTGAGCTGCATCCTGAGTACTGACTAAGCAGTTCCCTCAGAACTGAGTAGGACTCATGAGTTCAGGCCTGGAAACCAGGTGACCATGGCTTCAACTTCTGGCTCTGCTGTCTGCTAATCCTAGCTGTTTACACTGTTTAAAGACAACAGGATTTCACTTCCTAGGGCTGCTGCATTAAATCACCTTAATGTGTATATAGTGTGAGGCAAAGTCCTTGGCACTTCCTCGATAAATGCTCAGTAAATGGTTACTGACATGTTAAGTATTCCCCAGATTCGTTCCTCTTTCTGCAAAGTCCTATGTCCATTTTTGTTCATTCATTAAACTAAAACCCTGAGTGACATCTTCAAGGTCTTCTTTCTGCATTATTCCCTATATATTGCTTGTGGAACCTATGCTTAAACATATCTCAAAGTCATTATCTCTTACCTGGACCACTTTAGCACTTTTCATGATGGTCTCCCTGCCTTTCCCATTGCCCCCTCAAGTCCATTTTCACTGTTTTTGTTTTGTTTGTTTGTTTCTGAGACAGGGTCTTGCTATATAGTTGAGACTGACCTGGAACTCACTATGTAGCCCAGGCTGGTCTCGAACTCACAGGGATCCTCCTGCCTCAGCCTTCCAAGTGCTGGGATTACAGGCATGCACCATGATGCCCAGCTCTGTTTTTATTCTTCCCACCAAAGGATTTTCAAAAATTTAAATAAAGCCACGAAATCTTGAGTTTGGCCTTCTCTCATGGGTCCTTCTAGCTACATCTCTATGTCCTTTACATCTCTGTCCTACAGTGTTATCTCAAATTGTAAGACCTAAATTACAAGCCCATGCTAAATGACAAAGGGCCTAGAAGTCAGTGCTCCAACCACCTCCCATTGTAGCCATAGCCCCGACCTTTGTTCTAACCCTGGCTTAGGAATGTAGGGCAATCTTGTACTGTTTGAAGTCCGGATCTGAATTAACGTGTAAGGTAGTGGTTCTAGACATAGAGACCCCAAGTTAACTGTCAAACTGTTTGCTCATCCGGAATGTCTTGGTAACCTTTGAAATATCCTATAGGTGGTATCTGTTACTCATCAATATGTGACTGCCCAGTACGTGGCTGCTGACCACCAGCTCAAATCAGCAGACCTGTGTCCCCTGCCTGCAAGCCTAAAATGTTAACCCCCCTTTTTTACTCCCCCTATGAAAAGGACCTCAGCCCCTGAGCTGGCGCCTCTCTGAGCCAGCTCCTTGGTTCCGAGAGCGCCGTCTGGCCAGACTAATAAAAGTCTATTTGCCATCTAGCCTGGTGTGTTCCTTCCTGGGTTTCTCATTCCTCCGTCAAGCTCCCGGAGCCTCGTTGTGCTATAGGACCCAACATTGTGGAGGCCTTTTTGGCTGTTCATGCTCCGTGGAGTGAAAGTGAGACTTTGCTTCTTACAAAATAATCCTCCTGCCCAGCCTCCCAGGTAGCTGGGACTGTAGGCCACCATGCCCTGCTTTTTGGCATCCTGACATTGGACTTCCCAGCCTGCACAACTGTGCCAACTATCCAGTCTGTGGATTCTATTATAGCATCACAGAATAGACTTAAGACATCTGCTATTGTCTTTTGTGTGTATTTTATTATTGTTTTTGTTTGTTTGGAGTTTGTTTTTGGTTTTGCTTTTTGTTTTTTTGTACCAGGGATCAAACTCAGGACCTTGTGCTTGCAAGGCAGGCGTAGCACCACTGAGCTAAATCCCTGGCATAAGACATTGATTGCCAAGGATGTTTCCTCTATATCCTCAGCCACTCTGAGAAAGTGGGCCTTCCTTTGTACCATAACATCCTGTTCTTGTTCCTGGCTATGGCCAGACTCAGCTCACAAGGACTAGACACCTCTACATCAACACCATCAGGGGATGTTTTAAACATCATGCTCTTAGTATGATGGCCATAGTCACAGGTGCCAAGCATCCTCCATACTCACACCTACCTCGTGACTCCAAGAAACTCAGCCCTGTTCCTGAGAAAAAGACACAGAACTGTTTTTAAAAGCTGTGTGATATAGAAGGTTAAACTCAGTCTCGGCCACTTTCTCAGTTCAAAATTCAGGGTAAGTTGCTTCACTTCTCAGAGCTTGTTTCTTCATCTGCATATGGGGGTGGTAACAATACCTGCTTTATAGGGTTGCTTCTAAGTATTGTCTAGTTCAAAACTCATTCATGTCCGATTTTAGAGATGAGAACATCTTAGAGAACTAATGTAACCCAGGCCTCCTTTGGCAAGTCCATGGGAAACAAACAAATGAGCATTTCTAGAAGATGCCTCTATGCTAGTCTGGCTACACATCAAAATCACCTGGAGCTCTTGTTAGACACTCATTCAAGTACAGTTTATTCACTAAGTTTTGGACCAGGCCCAGGAATGGGAATTCAAATCCCATGGGAGCCCTCCCTGTGGTCTCATGAGCATATATGTGCACAATCTTTCGCTTTCCAGGAGCAGTGTCCCAAGCCAGCCTGTAAGAAATGTTTACGGCACTCTCTAGTTCAAACCCCTGCTGCGGCTCCAGGCCACAGGCCCACCCTGCTCACTAGGACCTAGAGGTTGACATGGTCAAGTCCGCATGCTTCCAGTGCCCTTTCTTCTGCAGGCCTTTGTGCTAGTGCTCCCTGATCTTGGAACATTTTTCCAGTCCCAGGAAAACTCAGTGACTTCTGGCACTCACCACTTCTACGTTTAACTGCATTGTTTATTTGCCAGTTTTTCCCATAAAACTGTAAGCTGCACAGGGATAGAAACTACATTGTTTAGGGCTCAGTGGTAGCCTCTGTGATAACTATTTGCTAGGTAAATGAATGAGAAGAATCAGCTGGTCCAGTGAGGCCTCAAAGAGCAGCTGACCCCCTGCAAGTCTTCTTCCTCTTGCCCGGTGTGAGGCACCAACTGCAAGAGATTAGAAAGGGGGCTTTCTGGATGGAGGTAATCATCCAATCCTTTGGTAGCTAGGGAAGCTTTAGAACTAAAAGCCCATGATTTGGCATTAGACTTGGCTCCACTACAAGCTTTGTGACCTCAGACAGGTCACTTAGTCTTCCCTAAGTTTCAGCTTTCTCACTTGGTGTAAGGATGAGCTTCGTGGAAGCTCTCTGTTTCCCGAGCCACGAGTCATCACCACTAAATGTGGGTTGGCTTCCTGATAAGAGTTCTGTTCTACCTCCTTTCCCCAGAGGTGTCCATGCACAGGAGGCATCAGAAGTGACAGCACTCATCTGAACACAGTTTTCTGCGATTGTTTGGGGATGACTGGAGCAGAAAGAACAATGTGCCCTCAGGAGAAATAAACCATATTTCTCAAAACCTAATAATAACCACATTCCTTGTTTATCGAGTACATGTTCTGCACCAGGCACTAAGCCCCGGTGCTTCCCTCTCTGGGGAAAGCCTAGGTGGACTTGGGGAGCAGAGAGGGAATCAGGCTGAACCATGCCAAGTGGAGAGGTCAATGCCCTTCCTCTCTGCATGCCACCCAGGCCACTCTGGGAAGACCTAGGTCCTTATTGTGGCCACTAGACAGACAGAATCCCCTTTCTCTAAGCTGGCTTGTCAGCAGGAAGGGCTCAGACCACCCCTGTGTTCCAAAGCAAGAAGGCATGCTCCAGGCCCTTTCTCTGCACCCCCACCCCAGGCAGAGGTGGTCCTTTCTCTGCACGCGCACCACACACACACACACACACACACACACCCGCAGGTGGTCCCTTCTCCCCACCCCACGTGGGGCGGAAGTAGCTTCTTCTGGAGAGAGCAGGTGGCTTGAGTGCAGTTCTGCGATTTTATTTTTCCTGGGATACTCAAGGGGATGTGGGAACAGCCACAGGTGTGGTGAGGGTAAGCCCCCCATCTCCCCTCCCCAGCCGCTGGGAAAGGGGAGAGGCCCAGGCGCCCTGGTCCTGGGTTGGTCCAGCCACTGTGGTCCCTGGGCCCTGTGGGCAGAGGGCTGAGGGTGGAGCCCTGGGAGGGTGGGGCGGGCTCCTAGGCGGGGTTGGGGATTCTTCATAAAAAGCCACGAAGCTTGATCCCCCACGAAGCCCAGCCCCGCGGGGTTGGGGGGACGCAGAGCCCAGATGGAGGACCCGGCCCGGCCTGGCCCGTGGGGGAGAATAATGGCAGAGATGGTGCCCATGGGGAGAAGGTGGGAACGAAGCGTCGGACCAGGAAGGTGGGCTTCCAGGTGAGGGGCACGGGGTGGAGAGGCACGGCCCCCAGCCCAGCCCGGGCGCCTTCGCGTGGGGTCGGGAAGGTAAAAAACCCACGAGAACGTGACCGGCAGGAGGGACCAGGGCGTGCGGTGCCGGCGGGGCGGGCGCACGGGGCTGCCCGCGTTCACAGTGACCTCGA